TAGAGAGGAATATTTTGATGAAGAGGGAGAGAAGTGCCAAAGAGATACCTTTGGCTTGGCACCTGTGGCTCAAGTGGCTAAGGTGCCAGCCACATACACCTAAGGTGGTGGTCGAATCCAGCCCAGGCCACCAAACAACAATGACGGCTGCAACCAAAAAAATAGCTGAGCATTGTGGCGGGCACCTGTGGTCCCAGCTACTTGGGAGGCAGAGGCAGGAGACTCGCTTGAGCCCAAGAGTTGGAGGTTGCTGTGAGCTGTGATGCCACAGCACTCTAACCCAGGGGGATAGCTTGAGGCTCTGTCTCAAAAAAAAAAAAAAAAAAAGAGAGATACCTTCAAGTAGGTGAGAAAGGGTGGGATCTAACAGAGGGGGTGTCCTTGGGATCATGGACCATTAATCATATTAAAGGAAGGGGCTCAGATTTCAGACATGGTTGATCGCTGGTAGGTGTGGGGTATAGGCACCTAGCAGAGGTTTTCTGATTAGTTTTCCAAGAGAAGCAGAAATTAAGATCATTAGTACGAGGGAGGATGGGAAAGAAACTCTGAGAGATTTGGGAAGAAATTATAAAATAATTGCCCCAAAGAAGGGGAAATAAATAGACTAACATGGGAACATGGGAGTTCCCGAAACCTACATGGAGGGTATCTTCTTTCTTTTTTTGTTTTGCCTCTTCTGTTTTTCTCCCAGTAACTAATGTGCAGCGTAATGCCAACATGCAGTGGATGGGCGATTATTTGAGTTAATTTCAGAAGTGTAATCATACCCACCTATATCATTCATAGCTGCCCCTGTATGGCGCCTACAGTTCTAAACACCTTACACATTTGCTGTGCTGACCCATAACAGCTCCGTATGTGGTGTTTAGAGCCACCAGACAGGATGAGCTTGCTAAGGGTGTCAGAAGTAGGTATTACCATCCTCTGCGTCCAGGTGATGAAACAGATTTTTTTTTTTAGACATTGTTTCACTTTGGCGTCACAGCTCACAGCAACCTCAAACTCTTGGCCTCACGTGATTCTCTTGTCTCAGCCTCCTGAGTAGCTGGGACTACAGGCGCCCAACACAGCGCCCGGCTTTTTTTTTTTTAAAGAGAGAGGGTCTCGCTCAGCCTGGTCTCGAACTCATGAACTCAAGCAATCCACCCACCTTGGCCTCCCAGAGTGCTAGGATTACACCGCACCCAGCTGAAACAGATTTTTAAAAAGGTCCCATAACTTGCCTGAGCTTGCTCAGCCATCAGGGGACAGTGCAGAGAGGTGACTCTTAGCCTGTGTGACTCACGTGCCTGAGCCTGTAATCACTGTCCCAAGCTTGCCTTCTTCACTCTATTCATCTTTGCCGTGAGAGAACTGTGGCCCAAATTAGTGTCACACGTATCACAGCTGAGCCTAGAACCAGGTCTTCTCCCAATTCAGTGCCCTTTCCTTCCCCATCCTCCAAGATCCCTTGTATCTTGGGATCTAGCTATAGCCCAGTTCTCTCCGACGCCATGGTGGTAGCCATAGTGCTCAGGCCCTAGTATCAAAGCCACCGGTGGCGTGGGGAGGGGCTCTTGCCTGCAGTGACACAGTCGTCCAGCAGAGGGCACTCGCATGCGCCTGAGCGCATCCGCCCCGCCCACAGGCTCTGTAACCCGCAGACTGCAGACTGCAGGCTGCATCCGACTTCTGTTTCCAGGCTTTTGTCCTCGTTCTGCAGCAGTTCTCAAGCAGGCCCTCAGGTGGCTGTTTGCCCCCCAGGTGGCATTTGGCCACGTCCAAAGACATGTTGGGTTGTCACAACTGGAGGAGGGGAGAGAGGCCAGGCGTACTGCTGACATCCCCTGGTGCTGGGGACCATCCCCTACCCCACCAATATGTCATTTGGTGTGTTGAGAGGGGGAGAAATCTTGCCCTGAGCCCCAGAAACAAATAGAAGATGGCTTTGATATGAGCGTTCAGAATGATAGTGCCATCAGCCGAAAGTAACTTAGGGGTTCTACTTCTCTGGGGAATCCCGAAGCCTCTAAGGTCTAATCAGGTCTAAGTGAGAACTACTCTGACCATTCCCACCCCTGCGATGAGCTGGCAGGTGTGTGAAATGTGGCAGGGAGGCCGAGACAGTATGCTTGTTCCCTGGCCCAAGCACTTTGCTACCCCAAAGTGGTCTCTGAGTCCACTGATCTTGGGGGGGAGAGGGGGGGCGGCGGCCTTCTTTGGAACTGGGCATGTTCTCAGAAACATGCCTATTTTGGAAAAGCACAGGCATTTAATCCATGCCTTACCTGAAACAGAGATTGCCTCCAAGCTAAAATGAGCCTATTGCTTAATAAAGTATTAACTTCTCTCTGTGAGTCAAGCTGTTCCACTGTTTCAGTGTGACTCCTGTTCAGTGGGGCTCGGTGCAGAGTGGAGAGTAAGGAACTGAGACCAGCCTTGGTCTGTGGAATCAGTTCTGCTCCGCAGCATAACCATCCGCTCCCCTTTCTTTCTCACAGACCCCGTTGTGATGTCTAAAGACAGGTGAATTGTGAACCTAAAGTCAATTTATAGCTCTGGCAGGAAATAGGAAACGTTTTTAAATGCTGTTCAAGTTGTAGTTTGCACTAAAGACCAAAGTTCTCTTCTTCTTCACTGACAGTAGTTGACTTAAAATCCATGGTGGGAAGATGTCTAGAAACCAAATGCAGCCACAGAGCTGGGACTGGGTTTACCAGAGTCTGCAGGGCTAACTCAAGGGCTTCTCTAGATGAGGGAAAGGAAAGCTGGGGTTAACCACATGAATGCCTAACATTCTGAGGGCTCCCTTGCTGGCTACAGTTGAATGCAGTACTGTACTCTTGCCATTCAATAATAATCATCATCATTATTTCTGAAAGAGCTCAGGAAATTTCACCCTAAAACATGACTCCTTGGTATAAAGAGTATTTTGAATTAAAGGTGCTTAGAAATCAACAGGCTGAGGGCGGTGCCTGTGGCTCAAAGGGGTAGGGCGCTGGCCTCATATGCCGGAGGTGGTAGGTTCAAGCCCAGCCCCGGCCAAAAACTGCAAAAAAAAAGAAAGAAAGAAAGAAATTAACAGGCTTCATTATAATCTAGTTGTCTGTACCCTCGTGTTAATCTGAAATTAAAAAAATAAATAATTAATGGGCAGCACCTATGGCTCAAAGAAGTAGGATGCTGGCCCCATATGCTAGAGGTGGTAGGTTCAAACCCAACCCTGGCCAAAAAAACTGCAAAAAAAAAAAAAATTAAATTAAAATTAAAAAAAAGAAATCAACAGGCTTTCTCTCTTTCTTCATAAAAAACAGACCCATCAACAAGAATAATCGACTTCCCTTTTCCTCCCTGTTATTTCAGTACGTTGCAGGAAAAAAGATCAAGAATATTCCTAGGCTCGGCGCCTATAGCTCAACCGGCTAAGGCGCCAGCCACGTACACCTAAGGTGGCGGGTTCAAATCCCCAGCCCGGACCCGCCAAACAACAATGACCGCTGCAACCAAAAGATAGCCGGGCGTTGTGGCGGGCGCCTATGGTCTCAGCTACTTGGGAGGCGGAGGCAGGAGACTCGCTTGAGCCCAAGAGTTGGAGGTTGCTGTGAGCTGTAATGCCACGGCACTCTACCCAGGGGGACAGCTTGAGGCTCTGTCTCAAAAAAAAAAAAGAATATTCCTAGACCTGGCCCAAGGCATTTTAAATATGATGCCTCTCCCTCGCGTTTTGTTTTTTTGTTTTTATTTTTGTTTTTTGTTTGTTTGTTTGAGGTAGAGTCTCACTCTGTTGTCCAGGCTAGGGTACCCTGGTGTCAGCCTAGTTCACAGCACCTTCAAGACTCCTGGTTCAAGTGATTTTCCTGCCTTGGCCTCCTGAGTATCTGGGACTACAGGTGCCCACCACAATATCAGACTAATTTTTCTATTTTTAGTAGCGAGTGGGTCTTTCTCTTGCTTAGGCTAGTCTCAAACTCCTGAGCTCAAGGGATCCCCCCACCTTGGCCTCCCAGAGGTAAAATTATAGGTATGAGCCACCATGCCTGGCCACCTGAGATTAATTTTATTTCCAAGGACAGTCATTTACAAGTCAATCTCTTTCCCCCCCAATTCATTCATTCTCCCAAGTATCTATTCACACTTCCTTATAATCATTTATTGCCCCTAAACAGAATTACTTGTATTCCTCATCTATCCCTCCCCTCTAAAATGACAGTAAATAACTTTCCAGATCTCATTGGGATATTGGGAAATCACTCTGTGTTGCTCCCTGTACACACAGTAAATAAATCTCTTTATCTTGTTAATCTACTTCATTGTGAGTTGGTCTTTCAGCAAACCTTCCAGAGTGAAGAGGAAGGTCCCTCTCACCTCCATATCACTGATGGGGTGATAGTTCTATGGACTAGGTGCTCTACCAAGCATTTTCCAAGTAACCTCACTCCATGCTCAAACTACTACTAGGAAAGAGGAACTCTAAGCAATGTTGCTAAAACTCCTAGAGGCCAAATAACTTGCCCCAGGCTATGCACGAAGGTGTCAAGCTGGAATCTGTACCTAGAAAGGTTAACACTGAGGCCCAGTAGACATTTCAATGTGCTAGAAGAGGTTCCCCTTGAAATGAAATCTGAACCAGATCCCTTTGGGAAAACAAAGACTCTTGTCTTCTTTTTTATCAAGTTGAAGTGTTTTGTGTAAGGTTCTATTACATGGTTCTAATGGCTTTGTGTGGTTTCATCAATGTAACAAGTTCGGTTTGCATCATAAAGGGATGTAGTGGAGTCCAGTGTGTTCTGGTTTATGTTCTCCTTCCACTAATCATGAGCAATGAAACTTCACAAAAATTTACTTAACTCTTCCAAACCTGTTTCCATATATACAAAGAGGGATGAGCCCTTGAGTATATGTCAAGTGTCATGGGAATTGCCTACCAATAATCATCACTGTAATTATCATTATTGATATTATTTAGAAGTTACATATGTGTTCTCAATTTTTAGTTTTTGCAATGGAAATTTTAAATCAGGATAGGTGCACCACATTTTACTGTGCTTCATGTAACACCAAAGGCCAAGCATAAAGAATTGTGGCCTGTTGAACCATCTTCCATGCTTAGGAAAACAGTGATGGTAAAGCATGTTTATGTTTTTAAACTTTAGGAGCTGCCCAGGTTATTGAAGGTGGCCAAGTGGAATATAAGCCTCTTTGGGGCATTCGGTGTATGTGGTGGTACCATTTAATTGGCCTCATCTGGACAAGCGAATTCATCCTGGCATGCCAGCAAATGACTATAGCTGGGGCAGTGGTGACTTGTTATTTCAACAGGTATGTCCAGTGTTTTTCTCCTGTTAGTTTGTCTATGTAATTTTCTACATGTTTCATATTGTGTAACTCAGAAGAGGTCTGATGATTAAGTTTGTGAAATCGCCACCATGCACTTACATTGGCAGCACTGTGCAAACAACTTGGTAAGGTTTCATAACCTTAGAATATCAGTATCTCACAGTGGTGTTCATGTCAACATGTGGTGGTGTTTTGCTGAGTGGTGTTCATTATTGTCATGTACAATTTTGAATTATGTTAGACCTTGAATTAGAGCAATGAACAAACATTAAATTTATTACACTTGGCAAGAATGAAAGTGAAATCAGGTACATTTTAGTTCAAATTTAGGGGATAATGCTATGAAGAAAACAGCCATCTACAAATGGATTAAGCATTTTTCTGAGGGTAGAGAAAGTATCACTGATGAAAAGAGGTCAAGACAGCCAATAACAAGCAGAACTGATAAAAACATTGCAAAAATTAGTTAAATTGTGCATCCGAATCATTGGCTGACTGTGAGAAGCATAGCAGACTAGTAAATATCAATAGAGAAACAGTTAGAAAATTTTAACTGAAGATCTTGGCATGAGAGCAGTGTTTGTACAAATGATCCCAAAGAAGTGTACTACAGGAGCAAAAAAGAGCCAAAGTTTTCCAAGATCTTTTGGAGAGGCAAGACAATGTTTTGGGCTATGTTATCATTGGTAGTAAAACATGAATGTACCAATCTTACCCTGAAACAAAGTGCCAAAGTGCACAATGGAAGTCAGCCAATTCTCCATGACCAAAAAAATTTTGTCACTCCAAATCAAGAGTCCAACGAATGTTGCTAATCTTTTTTGATATGAGAGGGATTAGTCATTATAAATTTGTACCAACTGGACAAACAGTTAACCAAGTTTACTCTTCGGAAGTGCTGAAAAGGCTATGTGACAACTACCTGAACTTTTCACTAATAACTCATGACTCTTGCACCACACCAGTGCACCCACTCTCACTGCACTATCTGTGAGGGGGTTTTTAGTCAGTAAACAAATAACTGGCTCGGTGCCTATAGCTCAACCGGCTAAGGCGCCAGCCACGTACACCTAAGGTGGTGGGTT